ACATCGCATAAAATATAATTTTTACATTGTAAAATTAAAATAATTTGTTTTTTTATAAAATCATATCTTGTTTACATTCTTTTATATTTAAAAAGGATCGTTGGTTATTTTATAAATTAATATATTTTAATAAATCAAGATGTTATTTTATTTTGAAAAATAGTTACCGACTGTATTTATATAAACTAATTATAAAAAATAATAGGCGGATAATTAAGTCAATTCAAAATACCGCCGAATGCCCGCAAAAATTTTTTTTTTAACAACTTTTATATTTCTACCGCAATTTTAATATTACTCCCACAAAATACCAAATTTCTCCCGCAATTTAAAAATTTTGACCTGGCAACCCTGGGTGTGTTGCATATATTTTTCTATCATAAAAACGCTGAGTTTGAACTTGAAAATTAGTATATGTTCTTCTCTTTCAGTTAGCTTAATTTTTAGCACAAGTCAGTCAGTAAGTTAACCCTGCTAAGATTTGAAATTTTAAAAATTTTTAAGAAATTTGCCTAAGTTAGATAAGGAACCACTGTTAATGAGCTCTTGTCCAAAATGTCACCACTTATATTAATATTTTTAATATATCGAAAAACACCATGTAAAAACACTTAAAATTTTTATTTTCTTGCAGAGACTTCAATACGTTGGAGTAAGAATATGTATCAAAATCGTTATTGAAATTGGAGAAGGGTAAATAGTTTATAAAATTGGAGGATATGGTAGTGTTGATTTTGATTTCTTTTTTATAATATCGATTAGAAAGATGGGGAAGGGATAAGCAAGCAAAATTTTAGAGAGGGTTAGGGAGGAAGGGTAAATATTTGAGTTGGAGTTTGGGTTAGGATGGTGTAGAAATATCTCACTTCCTAAATATAAGCATAGGCGTAGTACCTTTAAAAAAGAAAGAAAGGAAAGATTGATGTAAAGCTGATAATTATGCTCATATATGGCAGAATGTTTTGAGGAGCTTCTACTTGCAATATAAGCTTACATAATATTATTTTGGCTAAAATCTTAATTGGACCATATAAAGATCACTTTATTATTTTGTAAACTTTTTATATTTGAATTTATTTTAAAAAGAATAAAAAGAGTATCAAAGTAAATTATTTAAAGGATATCGCCACCAGCGACTATACTCCTAAATTTAAAATAAAATATACTTTGTTTCCCTGATGGTTCTCTATTCGTTACTATTACAAAATTAATGATGCGGACGACGGATCAAATTTTTTGTGGTCATGTGAAAATATTTCAATTAGCACCACTATTATAACGCTGCGTGATCACTGTTTACGGCGCACTACATTCCCTTTTACAATCAAAATGGTGGAGAAGGAGGCTACTATATTATCCATAAATATAATTTGGAATATTATATAGGAAATTTCTAGTATATAAATTTTGAAATATGATAATTCGTGGTGTTGCAAAATAATATATTCATCAAATTATTCGAAATCATTTTCGGTAACCTTCTATATTCTCTATGCCATTCTTAATGGGCATTCTTTAAAAGAAATTAAATGATATATTATCCAAAGATATAATAGGGAAGAAATTAAATTACTATCAAAATTATTTTTTTGTAACTATGATATTATATATGTTATGCTTTACTTACAGGTATTCGCTGGGAAAAATTTATATCCTTATTGTTAGATATGAGAATTTAGAGAATACAAATAAAAATAGAATAAATAAAATTAAATACTAATTACTTTATTAAATAATATTAATTGTAATTTAATAAATTATCAATTAACATAAAAGGAAAAAGTAACAAAAATTAAAAAGCAAAATAAAAATTAAAATTTATAAAAATTTCTTCTTAATATTACATTTTTTTTCTTCTATATTTACATAAAATTCATATAATCTCGTCATATTCATATTGAAATTTTACATGAACTCTAAATATTTAACTTTATATATAAAAAGAACTATTTTCCGTAACTATTCAAATTTATATAAACAAAAATAATATCCTTCTAATTATCACAATCCTTATTATTCGAGAATATCTTAGTACTATTTATCACTGATATTATTTGGTGGAAAAATTGAGAAATGCTCAAAAAAATAAAGATTAAAATGACTTAAAGAGATTGAAAAGGTTAGAAATGTATGAAAAGATTACAATGAAAAAATCATAAAAAGAATATTGTATGTATGATGAAAAAAAAACGTAAAGAATTGCTAAAAAAAATGGACCTAAATTTATAAATTATTTTTAAAAATACAAAAGAATTATCAAAAATGAGAAGAAAAATAAATTGAGAGAAGATATAGTAAGAAAAATTAAAGTAAAGAAAATCTCAAAAAGTTAAAAATAAATTGAGAAAAGATCAGTAAGAAAAAAAACGTAAAGAAATCGCAAAAATTTAGAAATAAGTTAAGAAGGAATAACAAAAATAAATAAAAATTTAAGAAAAATTGAAAAAATTTAAAAATACGATTTTTCTTTTTTGATTGACACTTTTCCTTTTCGATTGACACTTTTCCTTTTTTGATTGGACCTTTTCCTTTTTTGTTTGACACTTTTCCTTTTTTGTTTAACACTTTTCCTTTTTTGATTGAACCTTTTCCTTTTTTGTTTGACACTTTTCCTTTTTTGATCGGACATTTTCCTTTCCTTTTGGGAATTTTCCTTTTTGACACTTTTCCTTTTTTTTGGACCTTTTCCTTTTTTGATTGAACCTTTTCCTTTTATGATTGACCCTTTTTCTTTTTTGATCGGACTTTTTCCTTTTATGATTGAAACTTTTCTTTTTTTGATTGGGTTTTCCTTTTTTGAAATGGAAACCCTGTAAAATAATATATTCTATTCTTGATTCTAATTGGAGGAATATAATGGTGACAAATATATTCTATTCTCTAATTGGGGAAATATAAATTTATGGTATTACAGGGAAATTGTAGACGTAGGAAATTATATAATATTCTTATTCGTAAAATGAATCAAATGACGTATTACTATGGACAAAAAAACAGCATTTCTTAGAAGTTCGTAACAAAGAATATTCCAGTGGCGTACTCCTATGGATTAAAGCCACATTTCTTAATTTTTAGTTTAGTACAAAGTGGTTTTGAGGTAAGGAATTTTCGGCGAAAATTTTATGGACAACAGAGAGGTGCGGAATGTATAAATATATATTTTGGAGTAAGTGAAAAACATCCTATGTCTATTTATATTTCGTATATTATTGGTCAAGTATTATCAATCACCCTAAGACTTGTGTTTAGTAATGGGTGGCGTGTTGTAGTTTACAGATTTTTTATTTGATAAAATTATTTATTTTAACAGATATATTAATTTTGAAATAGCATATTGGCGTCTATTTGCAAAATAAGCTTACATAATATTATTTTGGGTAAAATCTTAGTCGAACCATTTAGTAGCGTAACTAGATGGAGGGGGGGGGGGCATGGGCTCAAGCCCCAGTAAAATTTGAAGATCCCCCTAAAAAAATTTAAAAATTTTTACCCCCAAAAAAGTAATTTCAACTTCTTATATTTGAATTTATTCTAAAAAGAATAAAAAGAGTGTCATAGTAAATTATTTAAAGGATATCGCCATCAGTGGCGATATTCCTAAATTTAGAATAAAATATCCCTTGTTTCTCTGATGTTTATCTATTCGTTTTTATAATTATAAAAATTTTAAAAAAATTTTGAGCCCCCTGAATTTGTAGAGGCTAATGACGCAATAATTTTGAAATAAAATACTTAAACAAATAATTTGTCTTCAGTGGCGTATCCAGGATTTTCTTATGGACCTGGCCTGGCCGGGTCTTATGTTTTAGCTATTTAATAATTATATTTTTATTTTTAACTTCTATTTACTAATTCGTGCATATGAATATTACAAGCCTATTTTTATTTATTTTAAGTTAGGTATATTATATTTAATAAAGTTTTTTTAAATGTAAAGTTGAAATAAAGTTTAATGTCATTTTTTTTATTAAATTTGCTTTAAAAACTAGCCTCAGCTTAAATTCTAATACAATATAAGTAGAATAAAATTTTTTTTATTGAAAATACTAATAGTAGTGTGTATAAAATATTGACTTGAATATAATTTAAAAAACAAGTTTTTTTAACTTCTTATCAAATACAATATTATACAAAAATTTTTATAAAATACTATAATTATAAAGTGATTTTTATTCTTCATTGGAATGTTGCCAATTCATCAAGAATTTCTGTCGTTGGAACCAAATCTCTGTGGATATTTAACAGAGCTAACCCATTTAGCCGAGATTCGGAAGTAGTACTTCGTAAGTATGTTTTCAACCTTCTCAAGTTGAAAAAAGTCCTTTCATTCGTACATTTATAATAGGCAAACATGCAAGAATATAAAACAACTTTAAAATATTAGGAAATTGAGCCAAGGTTTCTTTAGACCGATTGAGCGCATCAATAGCATGCTCAGGTAAAATAGCTAAACGTAGTAGGGGAGAACGGGGTAAAACGATAGGCATTTTGTATATTTACCATAAAAATTTTAAACAAGAGTCAAACACAACAAATTATAGATGAATGTGTAGCCCCATCCCTCTTCTACAAGATAAAAACCTATAATATTTTAGGAGCTATGATTAGTTATGTAAAACTACTCATTTTCGCCATTTTACCCTGGGTACAGGGTAAAAGATAAGCACTAGGGTAAAGTGGTTAAAATAATATTTGACACGTATATTTATTATTTTATTTAACAAATATTACAAATTTAAGATTTATATTTAAAAACTAATCGATACAATAAGGACATGTAAAATAATTATCATAATTAGCACATTTAGAATGTGCCCATTCAAGGCACATTGTACATTTTAGCCATTCATCGCCCTCGCGACTATTTTTATAGTTTTTATTACAAATAACACATAAACAATTATTTTTTGATATCTTTTTTTTCTCTGAATTAATAATTTTTTTTTTATAAGGCCGTGTCCTAAATCAAAAAAATAATTTCGCAAAAGTTTTGCGAAATGCACAACTTTAGCGAGTTTTGCGAGATACGAAACATGTCCCGAATCATACATTTTTTTTCAATTTTAAATTGTTTGATATGCATGATATACTATTTCTCTATTTTATATTATTTGAAGATACGACTGAGTCTAGAAGAAGGCATAGATTTTTAGAAGGACGGTATATATGATATGATTTATATTATATGTATTAATTCTAGAGATCAAGGAATTTTTAGAACATTTGATAGTATTCCTTCATATCCTGACAAATTTCGTCAGATGTTCCATATGCATGTGGAAACATTTAATTACATTCTTACAAAATTGGAATCTATAGACACCACTATAGTTATACATAAAAATTCTATCAGTATGAAGCATAGACTATATATAACACTCATGTATGATGATTATTTTTTTATATAATATCTATATATTTATAGATATTTGACAACTGGTATGAGCTTGACATCTTTACAAACCTTCAGAAACAAATATTACAAACACTATACAAATAGTTAAGGCTGACTGCCTTTTGCATAATATTATAATAGATCTTGAGGGAAATCATAGCACAGATATAAATCATGAACAATACCCAATACTCAATTTTACCCAATCTCAGTTCCAGCGATGGACTGAAAGCTCTAATAAAATTAGAGAAACTTAATTTATTTGTAAATAATTATATGTAAAATTTTTGTACACATTAATTTTTGATTCCCATAATCTTATATTTCTTAATTCCCATAACCTTATATCTCTTATGAATGTTTTCATTTGTCAAAGTTATATAATTTATTTATAAATATTCAATAAAAAGTGCAAATAAAAGTGTTGTTTTGATTACATTATATAAGTAAGTTATTTCTAATTAATTTAATGAGTAAGACAAATGACTAAATTTCAATAATTTTTATTATAAATAAATATACAAAATATTAACATATTATGGTATTAAAAATTAAGATATAAAAATGTATAAATTAATTAAAAAAATATAGTATAAACTAAACTAACATTGTTGTTATAAATTTTAATTTAAAATCAAAAATTTCTTTATCAGTCATAATATTAAATTGAGCTTGATATGATTTGAAAAAACCCATAATATTATGGGGATCATCTCCTTGGGATGTATGTTTGGCAGCAAAACCTATTTTAAAAATTAATAATTATTAAATATATAAATGTATCCCTAAATATCTCCATTTTTTCATCTTCATACTTCTTAGATTTTTTAGCTTTAGATTTAGGAGTATCTAAATTCTTCCTCTTTGAGCTACATGGATTAATATTTTCTTTATTAAAAGAATTGTCTAACTATAATTAAATTAATAATATATACATAAAATTAATTTAACCTCTAAAATTTCTTTCTCATATATATCAGTAGGATTAACAATATCAGTTAAAAGATCATGTGTATATAACTCGTAATCCTAATATATAGTTCATTATATACATTTCATGTTATAATACCTGTGATGATGTTTGTACATTCACCACATCTTGGATATTTTGTTCATAATCCTAAAATATTATTATATAATTATAATTTCATGTTATAATACATGTGAAGATATTTGATCCAAACTAAAACTTGCCTCTGCATTCTTACAAATATCTTCCACATTTTCTTTTAACCAAAAATAATCCTCTATAAATTTCAAGTGCCTACTGCTTATCATAGCAGCACCAGAACCTATATAAAATTAAATTATAATATATTTAATAATATCATACCTGATTTTTTTGAAAGGGAATAAAATTTATTAAATTTTGACTTTATAGCTGAGAACTTTTTTTTTATTTGATCATAGTTTAAGTCATATATCTTCCCTATCTCTTCCCATTTTATTTTACTTGCTGCAGTGTCCCTATATTTGAGGTCGCTATTACACCAAAGAAATCTATGAGGCCTTATTTTTTCCATCAAATTAGATTCATTCGCCATCTTTTCGCACAAATTACAAAACTTTAAAGAAATAAATATTAAAGTTTTACGAATCGTAAAATTTGTAAGAATCTTGTAATATGCGCAAAATCGAAAAAATCATTTAGGCCAACATTTTAATTTTCCGTTTAAAATGGCTTATATTTTTTTTTTCGTTAAACTCGCGCAAATTGCGCGATATTATTTTTATACAATTTTTGATATTTAGGACATAGCCTAAGGTGTAGATGTTAATATTTCTGAATTCTTTTTTTTAGAAATTTTATCCGATGAAATATTGAATAATTTTGGAATAGGTATTATAGATGAAGGATTGAATACTTTATTTTAATTTTTTGAGCATGATGGTAACATATCATGATAAGGTTCATCAATATCATCTGGAACATTTTCGTTCAATAATATAGATAAATCACTATCATTATTTTGAGTCACTGTAAGATTTTGAGTCACTATAATATTTTCATCATTATTTTCAAATTCAATATTTGAGCTAGCATTTGAATTATTACAGCAGATATAATCTTGTTCTGTAAATATATTTGGGTTTAAAGGAAATATGCCTAATGCTAAGAACCCATTTAATATATATTTGGTGTCACTGCCCTTGATTTCATTTTTTAACACTCCTGGAATATCATAAATCTGAAATTGTTGTCCCACATGATTTCTCATCCATGTGTCAATAGCTCCATTATAAAACTTTTTCAATGGCCCATAAACAGCTATGTCTAATGGTTGGAGTTTATGCGAGCAATGTGGTGGAAGTGTTAGAATAACAATCCCTGGAGTGATAATAGTTTATAACGGAAATTGAACAATGAGAGCTATGGTTATCTAAGATTAATAAGACATTTTTCTCATTGGATGCACTAGAATATTTTTTAAAGTGTTCCAAAAAAGATAAAAATTCCTCCTCTTGCATCCAACCCGATGCGTTTCCCACACCCTTAGATCCAATAGGCCCATCACGAATAAAGTGATCTTTGTATCGTTTTCTTGGAAAAATAAAAGATGGTGGAATGCTATGGCCTATAGCATTGATGGCTAAACATATTGTAACTAACGTTCCTCTTTCTCCTGACGTTATAGAGCCGACTTGTTTGGCACCCTTCTGTGCTATAATTTTTGCAGGAGTTTGAACGGTGGTAAAACCACTTCCATCTGCATTCCATATATTATGTGGTTCATAGTTATATGAATTATATAGCTTAATTAAATTTTCAAAAAATTTATTGACATTAAATCCTCTTATCTTGTTTATTTATAAAATAAAACAACATTTTAATAATTAACAATACCAGTTTCATAGAATTAAAATGATATATAATTAATTAAATAAATTGAATTAATTTCATAATTTTAATAATGCTCAATTTAAATATCAATATTAATTTGTAACTTTAATATTAAATATCAATATTAATTTGGTAACTTTAATAGTTACCAAATTAATATTGATATTTATATTGAGCATTATTAAAATTATGAAATACAATATAATTTCAATTGAGAATTTTTATTAAAGTTACCAAATTAATATTGATATTTATAAAAATCGAGCTGTTTAACAACACTAATAGATGCTATGATCGCCAACAATCCTTTAAACAAATTTATACAGGAACAGGGGGGGGGGTAATTTGTTTCCAATATATCGTTTTGAAAAAAGGTGGTAGATGCCTAGAGTGGTGGTTGGGGATAGGTGGGTATATTTAAACCCATTGTCTACAAAATATTATGCCTCATGAAGATGATGCCGACTTTAGTAAAATGATTAATTTGGGACTACATTGTGCTAAATAGGCTATTGGATGGTAAATAATCCAATATCCTAAGAAGATATACATTAGCAAAAATCCACTTGACGCATTTTTTTAAATTTAATTGAGGATTTTTAAACAAAATGTTTAGAAAATACTTATACTTTCTGATTTCTGCTCTAGATTTGGGGAGGATAATATAGAGATGGATGATTTTATTATTGAAATGCAATAAAAATAAATAATGCATATATGTAATATTTTTAGTCATTTTGTATAAATATTTGTTACATGTTTGTATTAGAAATTTTAATATTACGCCGTCATCAAAGCAGTGGCCCCTACAACGGGGGGGGGGTCCGAAGCAACTGCTTCAGTAAATTTAGGGGTACTTCTTTTTTTTTAAAATTTTCTTTATTATTTAATTCTTTTACTGTTTTGTTACATCCATCATGATAAGTAATTTCTGGTTAAATAAATGTAATAATAAGACCCCCCCCCCAACTTAATATTTAATTTAATATATATTGACGGAAATTTTGGTCGATGTTTAGTAAATTAGGATGTTATCCGAGATTTCTTGTCATAAATTATTTTCCCAATTTTAAAATATGCCAAAAATATTAACCAAAAAAAATACAAATGCCTAATTAAAAATTGCAAATCGCATAATATAAGAGATGATAAATGGATAGATCACATTAGAAAAAGACATGGTGGGCTTAATTTTAACGATATAATGTATGTACAACAAAATGAAAAAAGAAAAAGGGATAAAAAAAAAATAAGGGATTAAAAACGAAATTATATTCAAATCTATTATCATATAATAACATAAATATTCTCATTAAAACCATGAAAAATATGGTTATAAAAAAAATTCAAAATGAGATTACATTTAACAGGTGCTTTTCAATCATAGTTGATGGCACATATGATGTTTCGAAATCAGAAGCAATAGCTTTGTCAGTAAGATATGTTGAAAATAGTGAGACGCCGAGTTGAAAGACTGATTGACATATATTGTACGGGAAATATCACAGGTCTCGATATTAAGCATAATATAATATCCAAACTTGGCTCGATAAATTTACCCCTTCAATTCCTAGTTGGGCAAAGTTATGATGGCGCCTCAAACATGAGTGGAAGAATCAATGGTGTGCAGGCCTTGATTAGAGCAGAGGCGTCAAGGCAGCTTTTATTTGGTGTTATTGTTATCGATTAAATTTAATCATTGTTCAATTATGCCAATCAATTAAAGAACTTCGAAATGTTCTAGGAATACTAGATGAGATTTTTATCTATTTCAATGGTGTAAAAAGATATGAGGTACTCAAAAAATGTCAGTGTAATGATCTGAAAAAATCGTAACGATTTCTACGCATCAAGAATACCACTCGGTACGGTAAGAGTACCTTATTTATTTAGATTTAAAATGTTTTTTTATTTAGAAGCTGGCTATCGTCATATAAAGCTATTGTAAATCTTTTTCTACTTTATGATGCCTTGAGGGCAGCTTTAACAAATTTAAAGGATTCTGAAGATCCTGCCACTTCCACTATGGCTAGTGCTTTAATCTTTAGATTAGAAAAATTTGATTTTATTTTATCACTTTGTGTTTTGGATAAAATATTGTTGATAACAAGTTTGGCTTGTACAAAATTGCAAACCAAATCGAAGGATATAGGGTTTGCAATAAATCAAATTCAATTGGCAAAAGATTGCTTGATTAATTTGAGAAGTATAATATAAATTATTGTCTTAATTATTTTTTAATCTAATAGATTAACAATGAATTTTTGGATGTTTTTTCAAAGGCACAAGATTTTATGAAGGAGAGAAATCTACCTTTTGATTTTGAAAGTTCTAGACTTCAAACATTACAATCCAAGAAGGAGAGGTATATATAATTTCATCATTAAATATAGAAATTTTTTTTAGCTTTAAAATAGGTGTGTTTTATGCTGCACTCGATTTAATTATTATGCAGTTTAACGAAAGATTTAATGATGCTTCGATGAAATTTTTTACATCAAACATCATTTTTTACGCCAAAGGGAATGACAGAAAAATCAATTATTAAAGAAGATATCGAGGATATCTGTGAATTTTACAATTTAAATTCAAGTCAAATTTTCGAAGAAATGTTTGAAGTTTAGAAATATTTATAAGATGGCCAAAATGGGGAATGTAATTATTACTCATGACCCTGAGGTTCAAGAATCTAAAGATTTGTCAGATTCTGAGAATTGTAAATTTATTTAATTAAAATATTTTTACCAATACATTATTTAGCTTCTTCTGATGATGATGATAATTAAGGGACTTACGATTCAGATTGGAAAAACTATTCATTTATTTTATCTTATCGTCTAATTTAAAATTTTTCTGCTTTCCCTAATTTAAAAATTTTATATAAATATTTATTAACCATTCCTACAACCTCATCAGAGTTGTTAAAGTAGCGGGCTATCTTTTTTGGTAGCTATAGCTAATAGCGGCTACTTTTTTTGTAATTATTTAATTTTTTAGCGCGTTACTTTTTTTTGAAAGTAGCTAAGTAAAAAAATATAATGAAAGTAAGTATAAACATAAAAATTTAAATACAATATCATAATTAATTATAATTTTTATGATTTAGCTACGTATATCTATAGCCCTCCGCCTCGGCTGTAATGTCGTAGTTCCCTCTATCTGCATCGACTGTGGGCAGCCCATTGAATCGAAGGCTTACCATCCCTTGCACTGCAAGTTCTCCCGTGGACGACAACCTCGTCATAAATCTATCAATAACATTTTACTAGCCGCCCTCAAAAAAGTTAATATCCCATCTACCCTTGAACCAGTGGGTCTTTCAAACGAATATGCCATTCGCCCGGATGGTATTTCCTCATACCCTGGTCTAATGGTCTTCCGCTAACATGAGATTACACTTGCGTTGATCTTGCAGCCAAGTCTAACCTCTCATTTTCTGCTATCGAAAAAGCAGAAATCCTTAAAAAAAATAAATACGCTGGCCTCGCCAACACTTTGCTCATTCCTATCGTTACCAATACCCTAGGCATGTTTAGAAACGAGGCCCTCAATTTCATCAAAATCATAGGGAAAAAAATGAGACAGATCTCAGGGGACCCCAATGAAGGATTTTACCTTCGCCAGCAGATTTCTCTGGAAATTTGCCGGTCTAATTTTTTAAGCATTCACTCTTCTCTTGGATGATATATACCTACCTTTTTTTAAAATATATATATTTTTTTTTATAGTATCCATTTTAATATATATTTTTTAATCCTCTGTAAATTATATAATTTATT